CTCTCTCTCTCTCCCTCTCCCCCTCTCTCTCTCTCTCTTCGCCACTATTCCACGTATGGTGCAGAACGAGAGGTCGTGGAAGGATATTGCCACCTTCTGCAGAATTACCTGCTCGCCGAAAGAGGCTATGAAGCGGGTTGATGGAAAAAATGGACTCTGCTCGCAGGTAGAGAAGATGGCAACGAGGATGTCGTAGGATTACTCCTGTCCCTGAGGTATAAACCCAGTATTTTGAGACCCAAGCTGTAGGTGGAGGGTTGTCTCCCTCCCTCTTCGAGTGACGACTTGGATGTCAAGGAGGTCGCGATCAGTGCAATGTGACGCCCGCGTTATCCCGAGCAGAAGTGGCACCTCTTCTCTCCCTTCGGAATGAACCTCAACTAGAAGTATGCCGCGGGGAAGCACCAGTTGTATTCATTTCGAGTTATCAGTGCTCTCCCAGCGCAGCGATGATAACCACCGTCGAGGTTTTAACGAATAAAAATCTCATAATTCCTTCCCCTCTCCCAGAGGGCCGGATATCTTTGAAGGATTTCCCCACGTAAAAACAAAAAAGAAAGAAAGGAGAAAAAATAAGTGGGTTAGGTAAGGGTTATCTTTATTAAATCCCACGTGGAAAATGGTTTAGAAGTTTGAGAAGTAAAGAGACTTCAGTCTTGCGCCATCTCAATTGCTTGTATTTCACGCCTTAGTTTAAACATACTCTCTTTTCGTTCTAGCACTTTTCTTTCACACCTGAGAAACACTTCATTCGCTTATCTATTCCAAACACTCTTTGCATACTCTCAGAACCTTATTTTTTTCATTACATTCCCACGTTATTTTTCTACTTTCCATGTCTCCAGATTATAATGGACGGTATAATTAGCTTTAATACGAATACTCAATTCTGCGACAGTCTTCTAAAAAGGTCTTGTTAATAAGATAGGATTTATCCATAGATTTCCAAATTCTAGTACATTTATTACTTTCTCGAGAAGCAGAATATTCCCGTATAATAATCAGTTTTCATAGTGAAGATTTTGGCCCAGTGATTTGTCCCTCTTTTAACTACCTCACATTAATTGGCGCCACCTGTTTTATAATTGCTTGTGGTTGTTAGTCCAGATTCTATCAATTTGATCTGCTTGCATGAGGTCTCATGCACCTAAGGCATAAAGAATACTTGATGCTACAATTACATTAAACAATAGAATTTTCCAAACAATAGTCACAATTGCATTTCCTTTGATTAAGCCGTAATTTATCGCGAATCTGAATTTCTCTAAAGACAAGCATAGAATATCCAGGTAGGTATAATTTTTAATTATCTCAATCAGTTCTTCTCGATATCTTACAGGTGATACCTCACCAAAGAGTTAGTTTAATTATTTTTAATTATTTTTGTTTTACTGATTGACATAATTCTTTCTTCAAACAATATCTCGCAAATGCATTAATTTTTTGTTGAAGATCAATTATGTTACTACCCTGATGACCAAATCATCAACATACATTAGTAAGTCATTCCTAAACTTGATACCGATAAAGCCTTTATCCTTAGGAAACTCTATTATGTTATAAAGTAAAATAATGAATAACATAGGACGAATCAAATTACTATGCAAAACACCTCGAGTCACTCCGATAGATTCAATGATGAAATATTTATTTACCTTAATTCTGGTAAAAGCTTGGTGATAAAAATTCCTTACTGTTTGGATAACTTTGTAGATAAAAACTCTTCTAAAACCGATAAACACATTCAGAAAAAATCTTAAACGTTTCTATTCAAGATGTGAGTTTGGAGACCAAAATGTCTATGAAAATTTTCGTTATGGAGTTTGCCAAAACCATACCATGATAAGTTGGCAGGTTTTGAGCACCTCCATTTTTTATAAATCACAATGTCTTCAGAGTTACATCAACTTTCTGGAACTACTACTGAATCGAATACTTTATTGAATAATTTTAAGGCATGCTTTATCCAATTTAGAGGCAAACTTATGACAAACGGGTTGAAGATTTCATTCTAGTCAGGGACTTTATTTAATTTGAGCTTCGATAAGGTTTTCTATAATTCATCCAATTGAATTGTTTCATCTGCTATCCAAAAATATCTTTAGATTTGTATCACTACAACTGAATATAAAGTGAACAACTGAACAGAAATATAAAGTCATAAAACTCTTGCTATGTACACCCAAGACCTTGCTCCTTTAAATTTGCTAACCTCATTCCAAAATAACCTTACTTGTTCGCTTTAATAAGGACAACGTGACCCTTCCTCCCCTAGACGTATTCAAGTCTTATGTATCCATTATTAAGTCTTTTCCATTTCTTACAAAGTCTCTTAACATTTTTCGTAGATAAACGACAATCACAGGATAAAACTAGGTTTTACTGTCTGTTCAACCACACTTCTATCACACGTGCTATTATACCCAAACCAATTGTTAAAGTTTTAATGGCCGTAATTATTTCACTAATTACTATATTTGCTTCGCCACAGAAGGGTGTTGGTGTTTGTAATAGATTATTATAATAATTGTATACTGGTTTTCTTGTCCACTTTAAACTTATCAAATGTGTGGTAATATCTAAACAATAAGGAAATAATACTTTTAGATGATAGTTAACATTTACAAGGAGAGTGCAAGTCCTTCGATTCATTGATTTAGTCGAAACTTTGCAGGTTTGTAGATTTAGTCATCCAATTCAAGAAAATGTATCATTATAAGTAACATAAAACTAATCAATAGTTTTTGAGATATTTATGATTAGAGTTTTATTATTGCCTTAACTATAGATTTATTTCGAATAATTATCATGTACTATGGTATTTGAGTAGTTGTGGCCTAGAAGCGACATCCGAAAATTCCTACATGTGGAGGCATGGGCTTCGATCCTGTCCGTAATTAATAGCTTTTTTTCCAATCTATTTTTTATTTCGTATTAATTTTTCGCCCATGAATAATTTTAAAATAATTTTAAAATAATTTTAAAATAATTTTAAATCAATTGTAAATAGAATTTCTTAATAAAAAAATTTAATTTTTATGCTTTCTCATGCTAGTATATATTGGACATTTTTGAAAATATTAATCAAGTCTATTTTCCAAAAGACTTATTAACAAACAGCAGATGTTTCTGTTATAATACTCCACTTATTCGATGTACAAGATGTCGATATGATCTATGCTTTCTCTGTTTCTACGATATCTACCACTGTTGTAATCAACAATACGTTTTTTATTAAAAAATTTTATTTACAATTTATTTCGAGTAATATGTTTTCATGAGCAAAAAATTAATACAAAATAAAAAATAGATTTTTCGGATGTTTCGTAATTTTCGGATGTCGCCGTTAAGCCAGAACGGTTCTTGATAACTGTTGCGTCCCGAACACTGCAACTCGCTCGTGGAGTTCACGGGGTTGTAAGGCCCGTTACGCTGTTGCGGCAATGCTGCTTGGGATGCGGCCTACTCTAACTTGATAGAGATAGACCTGGTTGGTGTTGAACTGCAGAGAGTTCTATTGTAGTAGACAGTCTCCTGCGCTGAGTAGTTGATGGGTCTCGAGTGATGATGCTGGTGTGGTCGTGATAGAGTTTTTAGAGAGAATCTCTTGTGAATGCCTTGTCGGTAGTTTTATGAGGATCGACTGTCTTCTGATTAGTTGGTATGCTATTGGGGGTGGATGTTAACTTCAGCGTCTTTCGGTGGTGGTGGTTGTTTAAACATTTAGGTTCTTATGCCTGTCGTCTAAGAGAATAAGTTATCGGTCCTTGTCATGGTTTATACTAGCGGTGGTTTAGGTGACGCTGAGTGTATACATGACAAGGGACGCTTACAATAAAGGCATGAAACAGGCCTCCACTTGACCTGGGACATTGCGGTCCTAGGGCAGCAACAATAACTATCGATACCTATTAGAAATTAATCAGTAATTAAGGAATAATAAGGCTCTAATCATAAACATCTCAAATACTATTGAGTAGTTACCCTTTTCAATTTACTTACCCTTTAACATTTTCTTCAACTGGGTGACTAAATCTACAAACCTGCAAAGTTTCAACTAAATCAATAACTCGAAGGACTTGCACACGCCTTGTGAGTGATAAATCTATTTTATATCTGTCTTATCTATGTAGAGTTTCAAACTTTTTACATACGTTGATACCATAAAATATCACTGAACGTGTAATATAGAAATAAAAAAAATTCATTACAATATATAAATAATACATATACACATTATGTATTCAATTTATTTAAAAATATCGTACATGACATGCACTCTTTTATCAATATTTAAAAAATGTTATATATTATAACAATACACAGACATATTTGTTGATATATATGTATACGGTATATCGTAATATATAATTAGTAAATGATTATGAAGAATATTTATATATTTCCCTTTCGTCGATTTCACAATAAATACATATACCAAATTATAATACCAAGAAAATAATTTATTAATTTATGAAATTACATTAAAAAGATGAACTATTACAAGTAAGTATTACATTGTATACTGATATAAAAAAATTTCAGTACACACAGCATTGCAGTGTGATAAATAGTAAATTATTAATATTAATTGTTGAAGTTACTTATTAAGTTTTAAATTACTAAAATTGAGAAGAAATTCATTCCATTTTGTATATTATTTATGAAAGAAAACATGTATGAATGCTAACATTTTAAAAGATATGATATGTAGTATAGTGTGGTAAATATAAATTCTTAAAGATATAGAATTATATCATTTAAATTTTTTTTTTTTAATGCAGTTTAAAACAATGACAATATTGAATAGCTACGATCTTTCGACAAGAATATTTATTTTATTTTCAATTATAAATTGAATCTTTATTATAATAATAAAAAAGTTTATTATAATAAATGTAATTTAAAAGAACTAAAATTCTTATAGTATCTTTTACATTTATTTTTTTTCTCGAGTCTACCATTTTAAGTAATCAGTTGTAGTTCAAGTTAGCCAACACAATACCAATATTACTACTCTATTACCAACACCACAACAAAAACCAGTTAGAATAAAAGTAATTATACGGCAACTTCATCTACAACTTACCATACTGTCAACGAAAGATCGAAAATGTGGGAAAAGTATACGAATAGTTATCACATTTTATCATGTGTATTATAACGACTAAATTATGCAATTATGTGGCCGATGAGATACGAAACCATGACTCGCGATGAGTGCAGAAAATGTTTACGATGTTTGGGTAAGGTTATGTTTCGAATAATTGTTTTCTTCAATAATATTTAACTTTTTACAATTATAATGTTATTATATACGTTGGAGATATATTTTGATTTTAAAACTGACATTGAATATTGTAATTCCCATAGTTTATATGACTAAAACGTATTAAACAGTAATACAAAAAACTATATTCAATGATCATTATTATTTATTAATGTATTAAAATTTATTACTATTATATGGAAGTGTATCTATTTTTTTATTAAATATAACTAAAATACTATAAATTGTTTCCTTATTTTTAACAATATGTTTATAAATATTTTATATGTATTACTATTTAAAATAATTGATTTTATGTCTAAAACCAGTAATCTTTTGTTAGAATCTGATATATTAGAGAAATAAATCGTTATTCATGTCCAAATTCAAATAATTTAAAAAATAAAAATCAATAGTTAAATAAATTCTTTTAAATACATGCCTAACTTATACGAGTAATATTAATAACACAAACAATTTACTAAGAATATTTTTGAAATAATATAATGATACTTTATGTAAATTTCTATTATAATTATAATGATAATCTAAGTATTACAAAATAACAATTTGTTGAATTTAGCATAATTATTTTATTTAAAACAGACAATATTAATGAAAGTAAAAGTAAACTAAAATTATTCAATTATTTAAAATTACATTAATGTGTCATAAAATAAAAATATATTTATTATATTTGAGTTTATACAGATTATTCAATTATCTATTTTATATAATTACATGTTATTTTTATATATTATGTTTATACATTAAAGATATTGTTTTATAGAACTAGAGGCATATGGAAACATGGTATCTGTATTACGTGCTCAAGGTCCTTTCAGTAATGAAAAGCAAAAGTTGTTACAAGAACTTGCTAAAGTTTTACATATTTCTAATGAAAGACATCGTGCTGAAATAAGAAGAGCTGTTAATGATGAAAAATTAGCAACAATAGCTGAACAGTAAGTATTTATGAAAGGAAAGTGTGTTATATAATCTTTTTAAGTCATTACTCATTGTTTGAGTAAATGCATTATTTTCCATTATATCATTAAATATATTTTGCTTTCATAAACCATTGTTATCTAGGTTAAATGGTCCAAATACTAGTACTGATTGGACAATTGAAGGTCGTCGTGCTATTCCACTCTTGCCAAGATTAAAGGCTCGTTCTGCATTCACAACATTAGCAAATAGCTTATCTCTTGCAACAGTAGCAGCAAACAGAAGGAATCTCCCTGTTCATGAGAAAACAGAGGATGCAAAAGGTTTTAAGGAAAAATATTATCTATTTTGGTAAATGTGTGGTTTTAGTCTATGTAAAATAGTGTATGGCTATAGAACTGTGAGTTAAGCAGATTTAACCAATCAGTATCTTCTTGTATATTCATTGCATAAGGAAAAATTCATTACTCCTATGTTTATTTCTATAGATATTATAAATGAATCTCCTGTGAAGATAAAAGTACAAGAAAAATCATTTAACAATCATGAGTTTGCATGTAATGAAGTAAAAATAAGTGATGAAAATGTTTTAACTGAGGTAATTTTAATTACATATTTATTATATACTGTAAAATACTTTATCAAACTTATTTTAATTATTTTATTAATATATTATAGGTCACTGAATCAGATAGGAATAAGGAAATTAAACAAAGCAATATCTCTGATGGCAGTGAAAAATATATTGTTTCTGAGAAACGTAAACCCACCTCTCCTCTTCCATCAGTACTTCCAAACAAGGTAATTAAGGGTGAAAGAATAAAAATAACTTTGCATTTAATATTTTCATATGTAATACAGGTTCTGGTAGTATCTTCAAGTTCAGTGGGAACTCTTAATCATGCTACTGCTGACAAAAGCTCACTTGAAAATACTATTCATCTATCACGAATATCTACAAATTCATTACAACATCAAAATGTCACTATAATACCATTAAATATTAATTGTGAAGAAAATGTTGCAGGTGATTAGCTTTAATTATAGTACATTTGTAAGATAATGTTTTATAAAGTAGTATCTTTTTTGTTCATTACATTGAATTCAGAATCTAAGGAATCAGCAGTACAAGAAAGTGCCAGTAATCATTCAATAATTCCATCTGGTAATTTTGTCAATACAGTAATCCCAATAAGTACAACAAATATTGCAAAAGCTAAAGGAAGAATAATTACAACACAAAATAAGCTTAATACAAAAATTGGACCAGCAATTCTGGTGTCTGGTAATGTATCATGTTCGTCAGGAAATAATCTCCAGCCTGACACTCAAGATACATCTACACAAGAGAGCTCAAGTATGATTATATTTGTTTGGAAATATGTAATACATTGTTCAGCAAATCCTAGTTATATTTATTTTTCATGTTGTTTTAGGTCCTAAAATTTCATCTGTGTCTCATAGCTTACAAAAAACACCATACTTAGAAAATTCAAATTTAAATTCAATTACAAGTAGCACAAAACGTGTTCTACCAGTAATACATTCTAACGTAAAGTCTCCAATAACTAAAACTATTACTGCAAGTAAGGATTATTGTAATAATCCTAATAAGGGTATAATATTCTATTACAGGATAATTTGAAAACTATAATTATACAAAATTTATAATTATTTAACTAATTTTTTTTTTCGATCGTTGTCAGGTAATTCACATCGACTGATGGCTGTTTGTCCTGTTACAACAGTATCTAATGGTCCAGGACCACCTCAAGCTAAGCAGATAACAACATTAACTTGTAAAAAATTATCTACAACTCTTAACAATAAAACCACTGCCAAAATGGTACAGTTTAAAAGAAAAGAATAAGTATATAATAGTGAACAAATATTGTTATAAAAATATATTTGTAATGTTTCAGGGTGTTACTCTAAATTCTAATAAAACTGTAAATATATCTCATCACCCAGATACGAAATTAGGATCTAAAACAAACGTGATCGTTATACAAAAGGGCCAAACCAAAGGTGTAACTCTTTCACAAGCGGGCAAGGTTCAGTAATATTTAATTCATAAAATAATTATTATGCTTCGTATTTTAAATGTAAAAATAATACAATTCCATATACTGTAGGAGGTATTAGGGAAAGTAATAATGGGTGGAAAAAGTTTGTGCGTTACAAGTCAACATAATGCCTCTATTAATGTGGTTCCCCGGCATGTTACATTGAATAATGGAGATCAAGGTCTAACCATGTTATCCACAACAAACTCATCTCGTACAGAATCTATAACATCTAACATTAAGGTAATAGCTATTTTAATATTTAAAAATTTATGAGTATAATAGAATTTGTATTCATACAGTTTTATAAACATTTATATATTTTCTAAAATAGATAACATTTTAATATTACATGGAACTAATTAAGTCTATTCCACAAACAATATGTAAAATGTGATTGGAAGGATGGTACAACTGAACATGGAGTGATGCTCCATACAAAAGTAAATTAAGAATATAGAATAAAGTGTATTCATTTAAGGCTTTTCAATAAAATCAATTTCAAAAAATCATTATATACGCATACACTCAACTGAAAATTTTCCTTAATTTTTCCTATTGGATTATATAAAATTATTATTGTAATTTAGTAAGACATTAAATATTTTGATAGAATGACATAAAATTATTCAATGTTTTTAAATATTAAAAATAAAAATGTTATTGATAATAGTTCATGTTATTGATTTTGATAGTTAAAATTTATATATTTATTATTAATTTCTCCTGAGGAATTTAGTAAATTATTAATACATTTAAAAATTAATCTCATTTATTGCTAGTAATATTTCTAACATTAATAAACTAAGAAACTTTACCAAGCTAATTATTAATACATATAGATAATATAGCAATTTTTTTAAAAACAAAATCTAAAATTAAAAAATTTTATTTTATGTTTTCAATTTATTTTTGCACTAGGCATCAGTTGTATAATTAACAATTAGCATAATTATGTTCAATTGTATCATTATTGAATCTATCTTCTATATAAATATTGTAATAGTTTTGTGATTATAAATAAAATAAATGTTGACAATTATCAAACTAATGAAAACATAAATTTTATATTTTTCAGTCTAGTAATACCATTATGTTCAACCTCCAACAAGATGTTTTGGACAAAAATAAAGCACTCTCTCATCTGCTTGAATCATCTAATGTTCTCTCTTCTGAACCTAAGACTGTGATACAAAATGCAAATACTTCTCTCTCAAAGGAACCAAGTAACAGTAATTTACATATACAAAATAAAGAGCTAGTTGTAAAAATCGATAGTGTAATTGCTACTGTTAAAGATGAAAAACACAGGTCAGTTTGAAGCTGTTGAAATGTACTATGAAACTTTTATGTTAAACTCATGACTCAACACTGATAACTAACTTTATAATTACTTTAAAGATTTTTTGTAAATTGTACATTGTAAATTAATAATATGTTTTATGTGCAAAATACTTTGCAGATTACAATATACCTCAAAAAATATATGCTTCTTGAATAGAATTAAATATTATTTGTAAACTTCTTATGACATACGTGAAAAAGATTGAGTACATATGAGTTGTATAAAAAATTAAAAAATTGTATTATTGGTTATTTCAAAGGAAAAAAACTTATCTTATTTCAGACTAGAAAATCTTTAATTCTTTTTAAATTTATATTGTTTCACATAATCCATATTTTTTATTGCTTCTGCTATAATTAATATATATTTTATAAATATGCAAATTTTTATTCAATGAAATACATATAAATTCTATGGAATGTTCAAAAAGTAAGCAAATATTGTCAAGTTCAGGCAACAATGTAAATATATAAAGTAAATTAATGAAATTCTATATCATGGATTTCATTATTTAGTATTATTTTTACTTTATTACAATATTAGAAATTGTCATAACATATATATTTTTTATCATTTAAATGATATATTCTATTATTTAAGTTAGAGTTAACAACTGCAATTTTTTAAAATGATCTCGTGTATAACTTCTCTAATCTCATTCATTCACAATACATTGTTTTAAATAACTGGTAATAGAACTAACATAAAAATAGAATTACAAGCATTAATTGTAACAATATTAGATTTAGAATTATAATAACTTATGGAAAAATTTTTACAATGTGCATTATAAAAATAAATTAAATTTCGCTAAGAAAAAAGCATATATATATATATAATCCTATGTATTTAATATTTAACAAATTTTTATCTCTTTAAAAGAGTAAATTTCTTGTTAATTATATTTATTTAGCATAAAATACATTACAATGTCTTGTTCAGATACCTATAATAAAATATGATTAATTTACATTTGATATGTGTTAAATTTCTAAGTCACTAATAGTTATATATTTAATAAAGACTAATCTGTGTTAATGATATCCTATTGAATTTAAATCTATGTAGTATATTTTATGTCATAACAAATTTTTATCTATACAAATTAATATATCAAATATTTTAGATAATATAATTTCCTTATTAATAATATTTTTTACATTCGTATTATAATTTGAGCTTAGTATTTTTCTGTGAAAGTTGTAAAAGAATAAAAAATATTCATTAAGTCAAGCTATATACCATTCTATATATAAAATTAAAGATAAATGGAAAATTGTTAATAAATAAGATAATAATGAAAAATTCTTAATAAACAATTTCACTCATATTTTATATATTAGCTGTCTTACATTTTAAAGTACTATTTACTGCTTAAAGATTAATTTTATATTTACTAATCTAACTTTTTATTGATACTATCAGAGATGTTTAAAGTTCTTAGAATCTGCATTTCGTATAGAATCTTTTGTGTAATTCATGAAAATTGATATTAGACGAACTTTATTTGAAATAAAAACTTTTATTTCATTCAAAAAAATTTTTAATTTAAATTAAACAATAATTGTGGCAAATTTCTAAATAAGGAACTGTGTATATATTCATGCAAAATTTTAACGTTCCATTAATAATAATATTAAATTTATAGTAATAGCATTATTAAATATTATAACTGCAAAACTCAGTTTTTCTGCTACTAAAAATATTACATATGATATTATATATTATAATATCAATATATCAATATATCTTATATATTATTCACTTGATTTGAATTATACTATTGTTGCTGTTGTTGTTGTTGTTGTTGCAAGTTTTAAGTGATAATTTATTTGAAAAATTTTTATATTTAAATTGTGAAATATTCCAATTTATTATTGAATGACTTTTTGATAGGATTGTTGAAATATCTAATAAAACTTTATACTGAAAATCAGCTTTTCTATCATTATTATGCTTAAATAGTAATTTTGTATAAATTAAATCTTTTTATCAAAAACTGTGCACTCGTCTCAATTCTTTGCTTTTCTACATATATGTCTGTATCATTATTTTATTATTGCTTCTGTAACTTCTCTACTCTGTCCTTTTTCAACATTAATTAAGAATAAAATAGTTTAGTTTTTAGTAATAATTTATTTTAACCTTATAATTTCAAAATAAGGCAAGATTTTTTTAATTACATATATTTCATCAGTATTGTCGTTTTTTAAGAATTATGTATTTATATTTACATAAATAAAAAAAAAATTGCTATGATAAAAAAGATTTTTATTATTATCAGTTACAGTATCATATACTTAAAAGTGTTAATATGGACGAGGAGGTGGTCCGCCACGCATCATACCTGGAGGTGGACCTCTCATTCCAGGTGGACCCATTGGTGGACCTCCACGTCCCATAGGTGGCATTCCACAAAATTAAAAAATTTTAATATCAACAATTTAAAATTTACAGAAAAGTTAAATTGTTGTAAATCTGTTCTAATAATTTGAAATAACGCAAACAAAATTTATAAAATGTTACCCATCATGCCAGGTGGTGGGCCCATCATTCCAGGTGGAGGACCTCCAACTGGCATACGTGGAGGACCACCTGGATGCATTTGCGGTGGTGCAGATACTTGACCCCTACCGCCTGGTGTCATTATTTGTTGTGAAGGTCCACCAACGCCTCTAACAGGACCTTGTAAGCCAGCTGGTACTCCAGCAACATTAGCAGGCATACCTCGCCCAGCAGCACGACCCATACCAGGTCCAGGTGCAGCACCAGGAATAGGTACTCTAGGCAATCCTTCTTCAGGAGCTGGAGGACCTTCCACAGTTAAAGAAACAATATTTTCTCCTCTTAAGAGTACAAAGCCCAATACACGTTTATCTTCTCTTTCTGGTTGCTTTGTATTCTTCGGTTTTATCTTACGAAACTCTTCACAATCACCAAGTATCAAGTTCATATGTTTATCAAAAGCTTTAAATGTGCCTATAAATGTCCTTGAATCTTGCAAAATAATTCTCACTCTATAATTGATATGCTGTAGCATCTTATTGTTTTTACCAATCGTCTAAAAATTAAATACATGTAATTTGCTTAATTTTAACAAAAATGTAAATTTAAGAATATAATAAATTTTAATTTAATACGTAATAATGAAAAACGTGGTTTCAAAGTACAAGAAATTGTAAAACATTATGTTTTTCTTTATATTGAAATTATTATTTCAACTACTTGTGATAGTTCTACAATAATTTAAAAACGAATAATACTAATGACTTTCCACTTTATTCAACACTTATATTAGATTCATAAAGTTATGACATCGAAACTTCAAATATTTAAAACATATTTGTATGTACTATTATTTTTCACTTACCATGTTCGTTGTCTCTTTTAACACTAAAAAGAGTTACGAGCAAATTGTTATATTTTAATTATTTCTTAAACAACTATAAACAGTAGAAAATAAATGTTAATCGACTATGCCAAACGAAATTGTTATTCTAATAACATAACCTTTTTACTTATATGGTTAAATAGTATCACCATTCCATCTAAGGAAAATATCTGTGAACATATTTAATTCGATTAAGAGCATATTTCTATGAATAAGTCCTAAAATACTTTAAACATATTTTTGCTTACAATTATTTTTTATTTTAAACTTACATAATATCAGTGAGAAATAAATATTTACAGTACCAAATTTTTGTAATAAATAACTAATTAAGATATACTAAAGATGTAAGAAGTATTCAAAAATTTCCAAAAAATTACAGATACTTGCCCAAATGTCACTTATTTTTAAAAATTAATGATGTATGTTTATTTTAAGGAAATTAGAAAATTAAGCACATTAAATATAACTGTATGTTTTATATATGTACTTGCGTATATTTTATATGCGTACTTATAACATTAAAAATCTACTTTGAATTAAATTACTTTATATGATTAACGATTCAATTGTACAGTTGTAGCAATGTAATTTAAAAATCAAATATGTAATTTAAGTACAAAAAAATATTATTAATTATTTTTAATAAAAACTTAAAGCAATGTTAAATTCATATAAAACTTAAAAATAATATTTTTTTAACATTAATTTTACGGACATTTATTATAAAATTATTTATACAGAATAATTAATTAATTATATTAACAAATTTTATTTTATCATATTAACTTTCCTTTTGTAATTTTTTATATTATACTTAAAGAAAATAACAATAAATTTTACATAATTTTATTAAATACATTATTTAAATTTTTTATAAAACTAATCATAATTTAATAACATATTTAAATTAATTACATCTGCTAATTTATATTGAAATATTTATTCATTTTCTGAGAAATATTAGAAGAATATGTTTTTCCTTTATAATGCTTTATAATGATATTCCATCTTAATATTAATGGATTACTGTTTGCAATATTTTCAGATAATATTTTAGTACGATTTATCAAGAATTGATGATTATATTTCAAGTGATTATTAATTGGTTTATTATCTTCAGCATTAATTGAATGTATATTAATAATTGATTTCACAAAATTTGCAGAATTGTAAGAAATTTCATGAACAGATTTGGCAATGGGCTTTTTATTTTTGGAAACAAAGTTATCTTGATAATCATTTAATGATACATATTCCATTTGTTTCACATTATAAATTTCGTGTTTATTTCTTGGCTTAATTTCAGATGATTCTGTATTACCATGCCCTGAAACAGTATAAGCCTAATTATAAAGCTCCGAAAAATCATTTATCATGTGAGAAACGATAAACCTCTTTTCTTTAAAAATGGTTCTTGAATAAAAATTCGTGATTTAAATGCTTTTTCCTTCTCATGATGATTATTTCTCTTTAAAAATCCTTTAAGAGACATTTTTGTAGATATAACATTCATACTTTTTATTATATTAAAAAAACACGGATCCTTTGGTAGTTTTTCATGTTCTTCCAAATCTAAACATAAATTACTTATAACATTCATAAATTCAGTTATTTTAGTATGATAACCTTTGAATAATGTACATTTTTTAATTTTTTCATTCAATATAGCTGTATTTGTATTGAAATGTGAACACTTGTTAGCAGTATTCAGAGATAAAATATTTTGATCAAATCTATCAGAATAATATAATAATGATTGAGTTTCTGGTGAATATATGGTATTTAATTTTGTTAGTGATTCTAGGACGTTGTTATTAGAATTTCTTTTACTTTTAGAATTGATTTTACATTCTACAGTGCTTTTTGGTATTGAAAAGAGAATAAAAGGTACACGATTTACAATGAGTTTTTCAACAACATAATCGTATTCTTTAACATTATTGTTCATAATGTTCTTAATAGATTTTCTTTTATGAATAATTCTAAAGCAGCTTAAGAATAATTCACAACATGTAGTTTTGACGCTAGGAACAGAACGGGTTCTTAATGAATTAGAAATTGTAGTTTCTTGTGAATTAATATAAATTTTTAATTTTCCACTCATTTCAAAAATGTGTAAATGTTTTGTAATATTTAAGTATTTTAAAAATATATTTATTATTGCGTAGTGTAGTGTATTTTTAAAATTTAGTTGAGTTCAGTCTAATTTATAATTTAATGTTCTTTGTTCCTACAGTACTGAAAAATTATAATTATACCGCTTATGTTACAAATATTTGATTTAAGTGACGGGATAACACCATATCACAATTTATTAAAAAATACACTATTTAATAAAGTTTATAAATCATTATGCATATTATATGTTTATACGATTACACATTTACAATACAAATTTAATACTCAGTTTCAAATTATAACTTTTTGCTAAATATATTTATCTTCTTAAAACACAAACTTAATTTTGATTAGTATTAAAATTATATTTGATTATATTTAATTGTTATTCTATTAAGTATTGTGGTATCAAATATATTAAAAATTATTAATAATTTTTAACTTAACAATTTAAAGTGTCACATCAAATAATTTTCGATATGTTTCTTCACTTTTTTTTTTCATGGATAGATGGCAGTTTTAGCTTCCATGAATAATATTTTTATGTGCTTGACAGAATTCAATAAGGTTAAATAAAGTTGTATATTTTACATGATTTTACATTTTGAAGTGTAATAAAATTACTGAAAGAGACAGTTTTATAAAATTTTGTATCGGTACTTAAAATGGCAACAAAATTAAATCCAGCAACTTCGCCTTCTGTTGAATTAAGTTCGTATCGTGATCAACATTTTAAGGTCAATTGTATAACCCAATCTTTAAATGTTTTAATTTTCTTTTAATATATTAAAAATATTTAAATCATGAAATATATACTCTCTGTACTTTAACTATTCATGATAGAAGTAATTATACTTATTGTTTATTATAGCATCTTAATTTACAAATTTACTTCTGTTAAATTATAATAATTTATAATGATTTATAATAAATTTATAATAATTTATTATAATTTATTGTAATTTATAATAAATTATTTATTATATAAATTATAATAATGGTAATAAAAACAACAAAAGCAACAATAATATTAATATTTTTATAATAAGAATAATTTATGTTTGCAGGGTTCAAGAGCTGAACAAGATAGGCTTTTAAGAAATTCTACCACTTTGTATGTTGGAAATTTATCATTTTATACCACAGAAGAACAGATATATGAATTATTTTCAAAATGTGGTGATATTAGAAGAATTATAATGGGTTTAGATAAATACAAAAAGACTCCTTGTGGTTTCTGTTTTGTTGAATATTATCAAAGGTCCGATGCAGAAAATTGTATGAGATATATTAATGGAACACGTTTAGATGACAGAATAATTAGGACAGATTGGGATGCTGGTTTTATTGAAGGTAGACAATATGGAAGAGGAAAGACTGGTGGACAAGTATGCAACTTCATTTTTTATAATAATATAGTTATATATTTGATTGCTCTAAAATTTGTTAATATCATATAAAATATTACATTATTACAGGTAAGAGATGAATATAGATCAGATTTTGATAGTGGGAGAGGAGGTTATGGTAAAATAATACAACAAAAAGTAACTCCGCTTTCAATATTATAATCAATATTTTCTAGTAATTATTATAAATATTATTTTATAACTTAATGTTTAAAATGAACAACAGAGTTTACTTGATGGCTTTTTTAGTACTGCTCGAATTGTTTCAATGAAAACTTCTGCCAAATTTTCACGTTTCAAAGCAGAACATTCAACATATTTATAAGCTTTCACTTTCTTTTTCATCTTTTTGCATTCTTTAACGGTAATTGTATCCACATTTTCTACATTTCTAAGATCTCCTTTAGTACCTAACAATAAAACAAAAATTAATATTTATATTTAATGTTCATTTTATGATAGTATAAATTTAAATTTACAATGTATTCTATAGAATAATTCTAGAATAATTTTTTAATATGTTTTGCGTTAAAAAGGTTTTTTAACAAAACTGTAAATGGAAAGTTATGTTAGAATATTTCACTAAAGAAAAGAGCACTTATATTAAATTTTTTATATTTTGATTTTAAAAATATTATTTGCATAGTGAAACATTTACATTTGTTGAGTATTAATGATGGCTCACATTATGTAGAAATATTATTAAGAAATATAAAATAATATTGTGAAACAATATTGTAATAATAAGAAATTCTTACCAACAAGAACTATGGGTGTATTTGGACAGTGATGTTTAATTTCTGGATGCCACTTATTTGCTACATTTTCATAAGAAGTGCGAGAATTTACTGAAAAGCAGATCAAGAAGCAATCAGTCTGAAAATAAAATTGAATGGTAAATTGTTATAAATTAAATATTAGTGAAACAAATAATTAGTTAAAGATTCACTCACATTTGGATAAGATAAAGGCCTAATTCTTTCATAATCTTCTTGACCAGCAGTATCCCATAAAGTTATATCAAATTCATGTCCATCTACATACACTGTTCCTGCGTAGTTATCAAACCTAAAAACAGTTTGTAACTATCATCCTCTAATTCATTGTAAATAGGAATCTAATAAAAGATAATGAATTTTTATTTAACAAAATATATATAATATTTATAAAATATTTAAGAAGTAAATACTTTCATATAAACACAAATATTTTCAAGTTCAATTTTCAATGTAAATAGATACGATCAATTAATATCAATTGATAATCAATTGACAGCTTTTATTGTTTAATTATTTTTAGTTTATTGCAATATTATAAAATTATTTTTACTTTATTACAATATTACAAAATATCATGTATATATTTTTATCATTTGATTGATTCATTTTATTGTTTAAATTATTTTTCAATAACTACAATTTTTATACTTGATTTCAACGAATTGTTTTAAATATCTGATGACAGAATTAACATAAAAGTAAAATTGCAATCATTAATTATAACAATATTGAATATTTGATGTTAGAATTTAGAATGATGACAATATATGGGAAGATTCTTATAATGTCCATTATAAAACAAATTTAAATTAAATTTTACTAAGTGAGTTTAATAAAGTAATTTTTAAACGATTTTTATATTTTTGAAGAAGCAAATTTCTTATTAGTTATATTTATTTGACATAAAATACAATATTAAAGTTTTAATTTAATATTTCTTGTAAGTTGCATAAAAGTAAAACATATATTCATTAAGTTAAGTTATACACCATATGTATACATCATTGTACATGATATGTAAAATGGAAAAAAAAAGTATGATCTAAATAATCCATTTAATATCATACAAATACAGCTAAATTGTATATATTTAGAAAGAAGCACTTGGTAGATAGTTCTTAAAGGATCAGACAATTTTTTTTGTATTATAATTCAGGAAATACATTATTTTTTATAATACTGATACCATGGTGATATGAGTCTCGCTTTTAACTATTAGAATGTGTTATTACTTGAAAACTCAAAAAAGTTGATAAGGATTGTTTTTGATATGTATCTTTCAATTGATATTAAATTCTTTTTATGGTCTACAAACAAAAATTAAGAAATTGAAGTATAAACATACTTTTTATTTAAACTATGAAAATTATAATCTAAAATCAAATTTATTGTTTTTGATACTTACACTGTGGGCACATATTCCGAAGGGAATTCATTTGTTGTATATGTAATAAGCATACATGTTTTGCCAACAGTGCCATCACCAATAATTGTAACTTTAATTGGTCTATGCCTGGAAACTTCTTTTTGATTTTCTAAAAAATGGAAAAATAATTTAATTTAAAACTATTTAAATTAATATTTGTCATATAATTATTTACTTCATTTTATTTTCTTAAATTGCTCAAATATATTTATATTTTTTAATTTAAATACTTATTGATGGAAAAATATAACTAAGTAGTAGCAGTATGAAAGGAAAGAAAGAAAAGATGAAAATAAAAAAAGCCCATTTGTAACTTTAATGACACTTTTTATTGAAAAAGATAACTTGTATATTTGTGAATTATTTTTAGCGTTATTTACTATATTGTATATTAATTAAAATCAAAAATGTACCATATTTTTATTATTTTGCTAAAATAATGAACTAATTTCGTTAATTTATCATTAATTTATCGTATCTTATATAATAAAATAAAAGTATTTTCCCATTTAATAGAAATTATATTTTTTGTTTTTTAATCTTTATGCATAATACAATAAAACATTTCGCAATTTATATTATTTATGTGATTTATAAATAATTTTATGATATACGATACAATTTTACAATGCAAAAATATATATTTATTAATTCAATTTAGCAGTATATTTTCGTTGTTAAAAATTGAACTTTTTGATAAATGGTAGATGCATTAAAGAAATGTAAAATGTAAGTAGCATAACGATGTTAATATGAACATTTTTTCTCACTAAAATTAATGAAATGTTTTATTTTTTATATATCACATTATTCGAGTGTCTACATTTGTAGTTTGTCCTATTCTATATCTCATGTCTGAATCACGTATGCCGTGTTCGTACATTTTTAAAGTGCATGCCTTTACCACTTGAATCATCAATGTCATTCCCTTTCTAGCACTCGTCATAATCCTTTAGTTTTTCATATCCTTTAGTTTTTCATATTTTCATATTTTCCTTTGAACTTAACCTAAATGATATATATTTTTTATATATATATTATGTTAAATTTAAAACAATTTTATTTAAATTAATTTTACTTTATCTTTTGAATCCGTAATTTGAAGTTAAAACTATATATAGGATCTTCATAAAGCATCATTCACATTATTGTAAATGGATAATCACTAAGTACATACTTAAATATACACAAATGTAAGATATTATGTTTAAAGAATTTCGTGGGAAGAAGCTTGTTTATGAAAATATGTTTTAAAATGATTAAAGTAATTAGAAAAATATTCTTTACAAAACTTTACAAATGTTGTCACAAATTAAATTTAATTTATGTGAAGCAACAAACATGTTAGAATACTAAAATGCATTTATTATCACATATAAAATGTGAAAGACGCATACTTTCAAGAATATGCTAAGTACAATATTTTCTTTTATCCACCAAGGCTTAAGTAATCGATGTTTCCGTATCATAGTTTTTACCATTTGTTGATAATAGATTTATAGATATAATCATTTTCATTTTTCATGACGGTTTAATTATTTTAAATCAAATTCAATTGAATCACTTCGGCATAAAATTGTTTTAAATTTAAATAATATTTTTTGTTTTCTATTTACCTTTATTATTATTGCACATTGCGCACACAAATAGTTTCAATGCGCACGAGTCCACTACAGTTTGTTCACAGCTACCCGTTAAATTTGACGTCGTTGTTATCAGCAGTCAGCGTTGCAAGTTATCTTTTGTCATCCGGCCAATTCCATTATCCGCTACATTATTTGGCTGTATAAAAATGAATAAGATTGATAATTCATATCAATAAAACTCAATGATATACGTACATTGATCTGAAATGCATAGTTTCATAAAAAAGAAAAGAAAAAAAAAAAAAAAAAAAAAAAAAGCGAAAAACTATGATTAAACATTAAAAATTTTT